GTTAATTTTGACTTGGAAAGATCTGTATTCCAAGAAATGTTTGACAAAGAGCAGTAGGTTACCGTTACATAAGATTTTTTGTAATTGTTCGATTATCCGGGGGCGCCATGAGGTGTCATATGCTTTCGCTATGTCGAGGGCGACAAGTCCCAAGGCTTGGTTGGTTTCTAGGGACTTAGTTTTTCTTTTTGGATTTCATGTAGACTGTTGTATGTGCTCCTGTGTTTACGGAAACCATTTTGTTGTGGAGAAAGATAGCGAGTTTTTTCGAGAAACCATCTCAGTCGCGAATCGATGATCTTTTCAAGTATTTTACACGTTGTGTTGAGGAGAGATATTGGTCTATATCCCTCTCTGCTAAATTTGTCCTTCCCTGGTTTTAAAATCGGGATGACAATAGCGTGTTTCCAAGATTTTAGGATTTGTCCGGTATTCCATATTTTGTTGTACAAGTGGAGGAGGAACTGTATTGCTGATGAAGGTAGGTTGTGTAAGAAACTGTAGGGGATTTCATCAGGTCCAGGAGAGAGGCTAGAGCATTTGGAAAAGGCCCAGTTTAGCTCCTTAGCACTAATAGGGATGTTTAGGTGGTGTTGATCCTGATTTAATAGGCTGAAGTTAGGTTGGAGCAAATGCTGTCTACTGGTCTGGTTATTAATAAGAAATGATTCATTGTAGTTGATGTCCGAACTGTTCAAATAGAAATGGTTACCGAGAAGATTAGCAACCTCGATTGGATCGGTGAGGAGAATGTTGTCATTTAATATGTGGGTCTGTTTTTCTTTGCTGTTGCCTCGTAAAGATCTGATTTTGCTTCTTAAAGAGCTGGGGTCGCTTTTGGGGCCTATGGTAGAAGTGAAGTTCTTCCAAGAGGATGCTTTACTGTGTTTTACGAGGAATTTAGTTTTTGCACGAAGTTCTTTTAGGCGTATGTGATCCTCGATTTTTCCCGTTTTTTGGAACCGTTTTAATGCGATATTCTTTTCCTTAATAGATAGCTTGATTTGGGGGTTCCACCAAGGAACTTTAGGGTCGTTTAAAGTGCCATTTATTTTTCTAATTGATATGTGTGCTGCATTAGTTAAAGAATTGGTTTTGTGGGCAACGTCATTTTCGATCGGACCATTTGGTGGAGGTGGGTTTGTGTTTACATAGGCTTCGAATAGTTGGGAGAAGAGATTCCAGTTGGGATTTTTGAGTTTTTCATTTGTCGGGAGACGTAGGTGAGGTTGCTTTGCTAGAAAGAAGCTCGATCTTGATTGGGATTTAATCACTGTCGTATATTTCGGGAAGGGTTGACCATGAAGTGCGTTGGGCAAGGTTTGAGCTGCATAATGATAGGTCAATCACTGAAAATTTTCCATTCGAGGGATTGAGTCGGGTGGGTTCACCGCTATTGAGTAGTATAATGTGGTCAGTCTCGAGGACTTTTTCTATTTGTTTTCCCCGGTCATCGGTTTTTTCCGATCCCCAGCTTAAGCCGTGATTGTTGAAATCTTCCAGGAGGAGAAAGGGGGATGAAAGTTGTTGTATTATGTTCTCAATATCAGTGAACTTAAATAGTTTTTGGTTTGGTATATAAATATTGCAGATGGTGATGCTAGACTCGAGTTGGATGGATATTGCCACCACTTCTAGAGGAGATTGGATCTGGAATTGAGAACTTGGATGTCAGATCTGACCAGTATCACTACTCCTCCGCTAGCTCGGTTGCATGCTGTTCTGTTGGTTGAGAAGACGTTGAAGTTTTTGATGGACGGGGTGAAGGTATTATTGAGGTTGGTTTCTTGTAAGCATATAATGATTGGGTCGTGTTGTTGATTTATTAGTTTAATATTATTAAGTTTTTTGACAAGGCTGTTAATATTCCACTGTTGTTCGCGCAAGTTATCGAGTGCGATAACTTCAAATAGATTTTATTACCGCCCTAATCGCGACTCCTCTCTTCTGGGGTCGATGGCCCTATTATGTACTATTTTAAAATCGATTGCCCGACAGTAAAAACGAATTAGTAGGTCAACGGCCCTAACAATCACGTATCTTTACGGAATTATAACCGCCGTAAAGATTACGTATAGATATTGCCCTATCTCAGGTGATATAGGGTCATTGGCCACTAATTTCGAATAGCATATTTTTTGGTGTTGTCGGAGACACCGGCAAAAGGAATAGTGACTCCTCCGTGCGACGCCTTCATGGTAACAAGTTGTCGGCACGTTGCCTCCTCAGACCGTCTTGTGAACTTCGTCAAAGTGTCCAAGTGTGCACCCGTTTTAGGCTTTTACCTTCGCATAGGTCGGTTTACTTGTGTTTGAAATCAAAACGGTTACACTTCTCGCGTTCTGAACCGTATATATATATATATCGTTGTCGCGTTCTCCGCACTCCGCTAAACTTAAATATATATATATACACTGTCTCGCGGTCTTCGTTTAGAATTGAGGCTTTGTCGTTCCGATTGTCGGTAAATTAATATAATATTACAACGCGACTTCCGTTGTGTACCGATCGGTCGACGTGTGTGAATTACAAGTGTGGTCTACTATTAGATCTTATTATCATTGTTTTGGTTGCTTGTTGTTATACCGTCGTGCTCAAGACGAAACAGCTGACCAGTGGCCTGACTGTCGCCGTCAATTGGTCACCTGCCAACGACAACATCGGCATAGGAACGGAGTCACATAAATACTGTCATTATTTTCATATCTTATATTTTTATATATATACAAATTTTACCACGACTGTTTAAATCGTGTTTGGCCGAATATTATTATTATTATTTCTTATTATTCTTATTATTATTATTATCACCACGACGAAAGTGATTGTGATATCTGTTAGTCTATTATCAATCTTTGTATAAACTGTCAACACTTCGTCGTTGGTGATACGTTAATTTATACGTTGTCATATTATAATTGTGTAATCCATACTTTACATACAACTCGAATGTTTATATTTTGTATGGTCACCTCTCTTTAAGCAATTATCCACGGTTATTCCTAGTTCATCTTTCGGTGGTGTAGTCATCGAGGCCGACCACAGATTCGTAGGAGCCTCGTGGCTAAACAACTGTATTACATTTATGCTCATTGTATATATTTTATTGTTTATTATTAATTATTGATTTTGTGTGGGGTCTGTTGGTTCTTCGGGCATTAATTGGAATAATAAATTACGAAATTTAGTTAGTTTAGTTTACATTCTGGAGTTTTTAATCATGACGTAGGTTTTTTCGATTATTGCCATTAGTGTACGTAATTCGATGTTTGCTTCTTCGCATAGGGAGCGTATATTCACGGACATATTTGAAGAACATTCAACCAGGTACTTGAATTGGGTGTATGTTATTGGCAGAGGTTTGTCGTCATAGAATAATTTCTGGGCCGGATTGAGGAGGTCATCGGGGGTGTCGTCGTCAGTAATTGAAGAAGAATTAGACTGAGATCTAATTTTTTGTTTTTTTTTGTTTTTGAACAGCTTGTTGGGCTACTTTTAAAAGGGGGGTTGAAGGGGAGGGGCATTTGGGATGAGGTGTCAGATATGGCTCTTTTGTTTTGAATATTGGTCTGCTTAGTATGGGGGATTTGTTCGGTATTAGACAAAACTTGGGATGTCGATATGACGTGTTGTTCGTGAGTATCTAATTCCTTGGTTTCCGTGTTGAATTAGGTGGGGGGGTGTTGGGGGTATATGTTCTTCATTGGAGTTCAGATTGGTGTGTTGAAAATCGTGTTGAGAAGTTTGGCTTACTGCTTGATCAGGATCGATGAGGGGTGGTGTCAGATCGCTTGTTGGTGTGTCTATAACAGTGTTTTTGGAAGATGTGGTAGGAGGAAAAGGTGTTTCGGTGATAATAGAGACATTTATTTTGCAGGTCTGGGTTGTGTGCCCCGTTGTCTTGCATGTGTAACAAGTAATCGTGTCATCCGTGAAAAAAATTCTGAACCGAGACTGGTTGTGGTTTAGGATCAGCGACCCAGGGAGTTTTATCGTATCTTCGTGCTTGATATATATTTGTTTACGGAAACTTAGAATGTGTTCGTTCTAATCTAAGTTAATTCCAGCTTTAAGGAAGTTAATTTGTGATGTGGGTGATACACCCAGATTGTTTACGTATTACGTGATTGGGTATGGACTGGCATACGTTAGATATTACTATACGCTTAGCTGGGTTTAGTATTTCTTGACCGTTTATATTTATTATTTGTGTTTTAGACAGAAGGGATTCGAGAATTTCTTTACAGGATAAAAATATGCAGAATCTATTGTTGGAAATTCTGGAGACGAATAGTATATTTCTAGGTTGAACGATTTGTCCGATGGCTAAAATATAATCTTTTTGTGGAACTCCGTCGATTGAATTGAATACTATCGCTTGTTCTCTGTTAGGAGTGGTCTCCTTTGCTGTGATGCTAGCGAAGTTAATGGGAGTATCTGTATTATTTATATTGTTGCTGGTAATCTGACTGGTGTAATTAGTGTTATCGGTGTTGGTTGCGGTCGTGGCAGTGATGGCTGGGGGAAGAGAAGTGCTGGCGGCGGTGTTCTTTGCGATAACGGTCTGTTGCGATATTGAGTTGCACGGATTTAATTGATTTGGTTTGGTTGAAGGTAATGTAGCATTTTTGGTATTGGTAGTAGATGAATTTGTGGTTGTTTTTTTGGGAAAGTGTAGGGTGTTTGCTCTATTGAGGTTTGATGGGGGGGGGGGGGGGCATTTTGCCCGAAGTGTTTCTGTTCATTTCGAAATTGCCGAAGATTGGGTGTATAATTATATAATAATCATATTACCTGATATCGATGCAATGAAATGTGACTGGGGTTTCGCTATCGAAGCTATAAAAGCGCACTCACGGTAAGATAACACACGTGTTGCTCTGTCGAGTGAGGAACACGTACTGGCGTATTGATTATAAAAGTGTCTGGTGGTACTCGATGATAAAAAGGTTGGGAACCCCTGGGACAGTGGATCGCAAATAAATTTTGTCTCGCGAAAAATGACCAAGATGTTAAATATTTCTCGAGAGCAAATCGAGTTACCAGTAACTGGGATATGCGCTAACCGTGTACATTCGACGGCATGTGTTATTATAGATGTACTGTCCAGGATTAAAGATTTTCAAGTTGCACTAGTATGTCACGTTCTGCCTACCATTGTAGATGATCTTTCGCATACCCAAGGAATTTGATTCCCAGTTGGCGGATCCGTTGTTTCATTCGTCAGGAGCTATAGACTTGCTAATAGGAGGTGGAGTCTTTTTTGACATACTGGAAGCTAGACGTGTTAGTTTGGGTACAGGGTCGCTATGTTTGCAGGACACTAAATTTGGTTGGGTCATTACGGGAGAGGTTGGAGCCGTGTCCCTCCTAAACATCAATTCTGTTGGTCAGGCGCTAGAATACGGATGGATTGCCGTAGAAAATAGTAAAGATGCAAATGCAAATAACTTATCTAAAGTGAGCAGAAAGTTCTTGGACGAAAAAGAAGTAGCAAGACACTTTCAAGAAACAGCAAAACGCAATCAGGATGGAAGATTCGTGTTACGATTACCATTAAAATCTGAAGTAAAGAATCTAGGAGACACTTTGAACATGGCAACATCAAGGTTTTTGATCGTGAAACGTAGGCTACAGCAAGATGAATCGTTAAGAGAAGCTTATGTCAACTTTATGAAAGAGTATGAAGATGCAGGTCATATGCATGAGGTGCACAGCAGTGATCCAGTTGCCGATAATATTTTCTATTTACCTCACCACCCAGTAGTAAAGCTGTTGAGCTTAACAACGAAGCTACGATTCGTCTTTGACGCCTCGGCCAAAAGCTCAACTGGAGTCTCACTCAACGATGTGCTCATGTGTGGGCCCACAGTGCAAGAGGAACTATTCAGTATATTGATACGGTTTCGAGCGCATCAGTACGCCATAACTGCTGATGTAGAGAAGACGTTTCGTCAGGTAGAGGTATCCAAGGAAGATCAGGACCTGCAACGTATAGTATGGCGAGAGAGTCCAAGTGAGGTGCTTCGTAAGTATAGGTTAGCGACAGTCACCTATGGTACCACATCTGCATCATTTATGGCTACTCAGTGTCTCGCGTCGCTTGCTGAAGCAGAAGAACTAAGATTGCCGAGGGCAGCGAAGGCAATACATAGAGACTTCTATATGGACGATCTTATCACTGGAGCTGAGACTATAAATGAATGCAAGACGTTATAATCGCAAATCAGCAAAATTTTAGAATCAGCCAAACTGCCACTTAGAAAATGGTGCTCAAACTCGGCGGAAATATTCAAAAGCGTAGAATCACCCGAAGTGGAACCATTATTCATAATCAAAATAGAAGCCGATGAGATAGTAAAATCACTGGGGCTATGTTGGAAGCCAACACAGGATGTGCTTGGATATCAGGTTGTGCCTGCAGCTAACAGTCCAAGATGTACAAAAAGAACATTGATATCAGACTTCAACAGTATTTTCGATCCTTTGGGTTTTTTAACACCGATACTAATTAAAGGTAAAATATTCTTACAGCAGCTGTGGCAGATAAAGATAGACTGGGACCAACCAATACCAGAATATATAAGGGAGAAGTGGCTCCGATTCTACAAACAGTTCGAGGAACTCGAGACATTATCGATTCCCAGGAAGTGCAAGCCATTCATGAGCGATCATATTGAGGTGCATGGATTCTGTGACGCCTCGGAAAAAGCTTATGGTGCATGTATTTATGTGCGAAGTAAAGACCAGAATGAACAGTGGTGTTCACGGCTATTATGTTCAAAATCAAGAGTAGCACCAGTCAAGGGAGCTACAATACCGCGTTTAGAGCTTGAAGGCGCTCTGGTGTTAGCACAGTTAGCAGAAAAGGTAGCTGCAGCATGGGAATTAGATGTCAAGAACTTCTACCTCTGGACTGATTCAATGGTGGCATTGGGTTGGATCCGAAGTGAAGCAACTAGATTTAAAACCTACATCGTGAACCGCGTAATCCAAATACTTGAGCTAACCAATGCACAACAATGGAGACATGTAGGGACTGCAGACAATCCAGCGGACATACTATCCAGAGGAGCATTGGTACAAGAGCTAAAGGTCTCCGAGTTATGGTGGAATGGACCACAGTGGTTAAGCTACAGTAATGATGGTTGGGAGCATTCAGTCACCACCTTACCAGAAGAAGAAACATTGCCAGAAAGGCGAGTAATTAAGCTCGCACTCGCCGTGATTGATCAGTCAATCGGATTAATCGAACATTACTCAAATTGGCGGCAACTAGTGAGAGCCGTTGCCTGGCTTCTTAAGTTCATAGATTTCCGAAGAACAAGACAGATCGGCACAACAGCACGGCACCTAAGTGTATCGTATTTAAAGAAGGCCGAAACTGGCTTAATAAGGCAAGCACAGTTACAAGAATTCAATGAAGAATACTCCTTGTTAAGCAAAAACAAAGAAGTATCAAGACGTAGTAAATTAAAGGGACTATATCCGTTGCTCCAAGGTGAAAACTTAATACTAGTTGGAGGAAGATTGGACAACGCCCAAATTGCAGAGAATCAAAAGCATCTTATTGTGTTACCCGCAAACCACAAAATTACCAGGCTAATTTTTGAAGACACTCACCAGACACTTCTTCATTGCGGACCTCAAGCATTATTAGCAGAGGTTAGGCAACGGTACTGGCCAATCATAGGCAGAAGCATGGCTCGTTCTGTCACGAAACGTTGTGTGACTTGCGTTTGAGCAAGGCCAAGATTTGTATGTCCTCTAATGGCTCCGTTACCAAAGCATCGCGTAGCCCCTACTAGACCATTTTCTGTCAGTGGTGTAGACTTCGCTGGGCCTTTAATAATAAGAAGTGGAATACGGCGCTAAACAGGAATAAAGGCATGGATTGCAGTCTTTGTATGTCTTTCCACAAGGGCCATTCACCTAGAGCCAGTTGTCGGGTTGACAAGTGGAGCATTTTTGGCATCATTACGGCGTTTCATGTCACGAAGAGGAAAGTGCTCAACAATCTATAGTGTTAACGGCACTAATTTTGTAGGAGCGCAGAAAGAGTTGGCGTCATATCTAACCAACTGCGAGTCAAACATGGCTAGTGAAGGGATAGAGTGGAGATTCAACCATCCCTCAGCGCCCAACTTTGGCGGTTTGGGGGAGAGTGCGGTGAAATCGACAAAGCATCACTTAACAAGAGTACTAAAGGATGGCAGGCTTACTTTAGAGGAGTTAAATACACTGCTTTGCCAAATTGAAGCTTGTATTAATTCGAGACCAATGACACCATTGAGAAGCGATCCTTCAGAGCCTGGTGCCCTTACTTCTGCTCATTTCTTAATTGGTAGATCTTTGTTGTTAGCACCTGAGCCTAGCCTAGCAGACGAGAGAATAGAACATCTACGTCGATGGAAGTATGTTCAAGCATTAATGCAAGGGTTCTGGACAAGATGGCACAAGGAATATTTGCCACAGCTCCAAGTACGTGGTAAGTGGACAAGTAATAAGCTTCCACAGAGCATCGCCGATATAGTCATCATCAAAGACGAATGCACGCCACCAGCTAAATGGCGATTAGGGAGAGTGATGAAAACGCACCCTGGGAAGGATGGCGTTGTAAGGATCGTCACATTGCGGGTTGGATCCGGTTCAGAGATAAAGCGACCTGTAGTCAAGCTATGCGCACTGCCTATCGAGGTTTCATCGGAAAGAAGTTGAAATTAAATAAATTTTCAACGGGGGGAGAAATGTTGCGGCCCGAAATGCCACAACATTCTTTTTATTATTATCTTTATTATTTTTATTATTATATATACATATATTGCCGCCACCGACCGGCTCACGCACACTCACACACAACACTCACGCACACCAGCTGTTATTTTTAAATTTATTTTGTTTTAATTATATTTTATTTGTGAATAATATTATATTATTTAAATTAATTATCGGCGCGTTATCTGCTGCCGCCAACTCGCCGGTGCGCGTAGACTAACGCGGCCGCCGCAAAAAATCTTTGTCTTTCGTCGTACGCTGTATCGAACAGACCAACAGCCGTTTATATTATATATATTATTTTATTTATTATATTTTGTGGGCGCGAATCGCCGTTAATTTTTTGTAATATTTTTATATCGTGAGCGCTAATCACTACCTGTTTGTTATTGTTATTATTATATTTGTATCCGTCGTCGTGAATAAGTCCCTCGCAAATATTATTAAATTTTTTGGTATAGGCGCGAATCGCTTCACGTTTATATTATTGCTTTATATTGGTTGTAGGTGCTAATCGCCACACGTATTATTTTTATATTGTTAAATTATTTTTGTTTGTGTGTGTGAAACAATTATTTTTTATATAGCTAGGGAGTAGCTGGCCAGTCTACGCTCCACAAATAATGAGTTTTTCTTTTTTATTATTACTATTATTATTATTGTTTGGGTGTTTGGTATAAGTGGACTGTATAAAATGTTCTCTATAGGTTTTTAACGAAAATAAAATAACAACCGGTACTTAAGTTTGCCGTGATATGAATCGACGGACTACTATTAACAAAATCAGTTAAGTAAATGGTATGGGGGCACAAAATAGTGCTGGCCAGCAAGTGGAAATTATAATAAATAACTAACACAAAATTAATACTAACAATAATAAGATAAAACAAACATAGGAAAATATAAATATGTATAAAAATTGTATATAAACCGTGATGGCGACTGCTGGTTTTGGACGCTGAACAGGGTTGTTGAACAAGACGGTGAAGTGTTCCACGGGGTGACGGTGTCGGTAACGCACTACACAAAGATCTGGTACTCGGTGCCACGGTCAAAAAATGGATCTACTATTAGGTCGGTATTCGGTACATTCGGTATTCGATCGCGGACTTGGTCGCGTCCGTTGTTCGCGGCACACACAATACGCGGTACAGAAAATTGTGAGAGAGAGTATGTGTTACGGCGACTATCGGAACTCGGAAGCCCTATCAAACCGTGATTACAGTGTGTGACGACGTCGTCGTCTAAACAATTATTATTATTTATTTATTATATATCTTATAATATAAAACGAAGAATAGTTGCTACACGGGCCGATAGGTTTAGTGTCCCGACCAATCGAAAAATTACAATTTTTTTCTTCCAGTCGTTGTCCCATATCTCCCGCCGTCGTCGTCGTCGTTATCTCCCGCCGTCGTCGTGATCGGTTGGGTTATTGCTTATTACTCATTATTATTGTTTTTATATACCGTTTTTTCCACTTTTCGACCGGGTTTCCGGCCTTTCGAGACCTCTTTCCGTCGCATTCTCGACGCTATAGCCCAGAGCGGGTCTTTTTCGTCCGGTCCGCGCGTTTCCGAATTTCGTTCGCGGCCGTCGCCGTCGCGTCCGGAAAAAGCGTACTCGCGGCGCGTTCTCCGGTCGGTCGTCGTATCGTCACTACTGGTTTTTTTTTACGATACGAGAAATCGTTTATCCGTATCGATTACGCGTTTTTTTGTTTTCGGTGTCTCCGCCCTCGGACGCCTCCGCGACCTTATCGTCTCGATAGCGTACGAAATACGATTATATATGTGTATATATATATAATAATAATATTATATAAAAAAGAAACGTGCGTACCATTGTTGACGTACGTCAGATTATGTTTATTATATATGTTACGGTAAATCAGTGGCGTAGCCAGGATTTTTATAAGGGGGGGGGGGCCAAAAAAAAATTTAATAAATAACATTAAAATTTAATATATTTCAAATAACATTAAAATTCAATATAGGTAATTCAAATAACATTCAAGTGTTTTTAATTTTTCAAATATTTTTATTTTGTCCAGTCCAATGTTTGTATTCTTCTTGGAGATCTCTTTAAAAAAGCTGGTAAAATGTATTTTTCGATATCTTCAAAGTCTACATCATCTTTATTTATATTAGATAGAGCTAAGCCGTTTAATCTTTCTCCAGTCATAGTTGCTCTTAAATAAGTTTTAAGTCGTTTTAAGACTGAAAATGTACGCTCAGGCGTAGCTGACGTTACAGACAATGTAGCAAACAATTGTAGAAGTTTCTTTACGTTTGGCAAGAGCTCTGTACAATGTTGAAGTGCTTCAATAGCAGAATCTGGAAGATTTGTTTCTGATTCCCACTGTTTTTCCAAATAAATATTTCTGCTTTTAAACATGATTTCATGCTAACTGGAAAATCATTTTCATAAACAGAAGCAGCTGCTAAAATAGATTCATCCTCATAATGCCCAAAATTAGTTGGTATTAATCCTTCTAGTGGCATAATTTGTTGAAGTCTTTTATCAAATCTAAAATATAACTGATTTATTAAGTTATCAAGAAATGGTATAAAAATTGATATTTTATAATACTCTTCAGGGTCCTTAGCATTAACATTAACTCGTTTAGTTTGTCTCCCACAAATTCTAGGCATGGTTATTTCTTCACCAACTTTTAAAGCTAATTCAGTGACACTATTCATTATATCTTTGAAAGACTGATCTGCATTTTTACGTTTAATTTCTAAAGCTTGTCTTACTGCTGTAATATTAGTTAATGCTTTAGACAAATCTTGTTGTTTGCTCTGTAAAACTTGACTTAGTTGTAATGTATAAGAAAAGCAAGTTACAGCCACTTCAAGGGACACAAGAAAGTCACTTTTTGTTATTGCACTAACATATAATGACGCTTTACTTGATGTCTCTGGATTTGAATCATGATATTCAAGATCATTAAGAGTAGCAACAGTGTAAATATAGAGTTCTTTAAATGATATAAGCGAATCATGCCGATCGACCCAGCGAGTTTCACAGAGTTTTTTTAACTTAGTTTTTTTATTAGTTGTACTACTATCATTGGATAAACCAGTATCGATAAAATATTTCAATTTATCTGTACGCTTAGCTGAGCAAGAAAAAAATGAAGATACGGCACCAACTATACTAGTCATATTTTTAATTGAAACAACATCACATGCTTTAGAAAGACAAAGATTAAGCGAGTGACTAAAGCAATGAGTATAAAAAGCTAATGGCTGTTCTTGTAGTATAAGCGCTTGAACACCATTATTTTTTCCTGACATATTTGAGCCTCCGTCATAACCCTGACCTCTAAGGAAATCAAAACTTAGACCAACTTTTTTTATTTCAGTTTTTATTGCATCTTTAATGGCAGTCCCCGTAGTTGAAGCCATTTCTACAAAACCTAAGAAGTCTTCTCTAATAGTAAAAGTGGAACTATCTACATAGCGAATACAAATTGTCATTTGTTCAATGGTACTTGCATCAGTTGTTTCATCACATAATATTGAGAAATATTTAGATAGACGAACTCTATTAACTACTTTATTTTTTATTACATCACCAATTGATTCAATGATCTCATTTTGAATGGAAGGACTTATCATTGTGCAATTTTTAGCTGCAATGTCAAAATGTGACTCAAGGTTTTTATCCCCAGATTCAATACGGAAAGATAGTAATGCACGTAAAAGACCCTGTTTACCTGATAAACATTCTTGTCGTACATCAACACATTTTAAAGTCCCTGATTCTCTATGTCCTCTTAGTGGTAAATTGTTTTGAGCACAAAATAGTATTGACTTAATTATGGGTATAAGTCTCTTATGATTATATTCAATAACTTGGTTCAAGCGATCGTCAAAGAGTACATTTACATCTTTTTTACCTCCAGAGTTATAATTATTTAAAAAATCTGTAACTCTTTGCCCAGCTAGAAGATGATAGTCTTTTGTAGCATGTTCTTGAAAATCATTCATGGCATCTTTATATTTTGTCATTGGCTGTGTGACTAATTTACCTAATTTCTGAAAAATAATGTTTTGTTAGTACCTAATAAGATAAATTATCTTACTTAACACCAGTTTCAGTAAATCTACTTCTTCGAATTAAAAATTTAGTTTTATTTATTATTTGTTAAAATAAAAAAAAATAAATAAATAAATAAATATAATATTAAAATATATAATAAATATATTAATATATATAATATTAATTTATTTAAATAAATAATATTTATTTTTTATATTTATACTAAATAAACAAGTAGGTACCTACAATATGATATAAATATAAAAAAATGTGTACTAATTATACTTTGATAAAAATGATTGAATTTTTGTTATAATATTAAATTTAAAATTGATTTGTTTTAGTATTTAAATCAATCATCAACATTAATACAGCAAAATATTTAAACATAACTTGTTGTAAAAGTACCTTATTATAGAATAATAGTCAATTAGGTTTATGTAAAAAGTTTCCATAAGTTCTTATAGTTAAGTATTATTTTATATTTATTAATTATTATAGTTACCTGTCGGCCTACACCTCCGCCTGAAAAAGCAAACACAACACACCATTTACAAAATGCACCATTTTTTATTTTGCTATAAGCCAGCCAAGGAAAGAGGTCTAAATATTTGTATTGGAATTTTCTGTTGCGTTGGTTTTTTCCTTTTCCTTCAATTTGCTGTGGGAAAATATAATTGGGCGAAGGACACCAAGCAAATTTTAAACAGTTTACAATTTCAGAATACTTTAAAGCATGATCTACTACAAAATTAGCAATATCATGCAAATGCTGTTGTTGTGAAACTTGTGATTCATTGTCCTATAAGAAGAACAACTAAAACTCAGACCATGCAATAGTAAAGAAGGATAGTAAATTTCTAAACAAGCTATAAGCTATTATAAACTATAATAAGTATATTATTATAATTTGTTGTCGTACAGCAAAGAATATAACTAAATTAGGTATAGCTTGATGATCAATGAACATACATACCAAAATGTGTGTATCCTTTGCAATCAAAGAATGAAGGGTATCAGGCAAGTCATATTGATTAACAGAACTAACATAAGTAGAGTTTAATTTGTCTGTCATTAAAGCATTCAGAGCAGTGTTATTTGATGAACTTATATCCTATTATTTAAACAAAAACCAATTACCAATATTAAAAAAAATAATAATAACAAATGTAAACAGTATTAAGGTACCACATTTATTTTCTTACCGAAATTAGAATTGAATCATTGGAACTCACATCATCTTGTTTCTGTTTTTTAGAGTTATTAGAATTATTAAAAATTGAAAATAATTTCCGTTTTGAATTTGAACTAGCCATTTCTAATACTTTACTTAACGTTTGACCGGCAAGGTATACGAATCTAACATTCTAACGTCCGTCGTTATCTTTGTGTTTTGTAAATCTCTCTAATTTGCTGTTATCAACTTCTACCGTGGTTGGGGCTTATAAAGGTTATTAAGTTATAGGTATCGACGGGTTGCCCCGGTATGGTATCGACATAGAACAATACTATCATTATATCAGTAGAATCATTTCAACAAAACAATATATATATATATTTTTTATTGTAACTCCAAACCAGTATAATATAGCCAAAATTAATTAATTTACATATTATTATTATGTATTATATGATACGGCCAATGGGGGGGGGCCAGGCCCCCGTTCCCCCCCCCCCTTGGCTACGCCACTGCGGTAAATGATGTAACACATGAAAATTACGTAATTAACCGGGAATTATCGTAAACATATATTAAAAATGGAGATTTTCGATATTTACCGGTTAATTGCGATATTCACCAAACAAATTGGTAAATGTTGTGTATAATACTAAAATTCGACTATAACACAACTTTTATGTTTTTTCTGTTGCATAGTTTTACATTAGGTAGATTCTAGTATCTACTATCTATAAATATGTTTTTGCGCAAGATATCTGATAATCATTACCTAAAGATTAAACGTATAAAATAATATAATCGATAATCAAGTCCAGTATTGGCAGTATTAGGTTTTATCTTATCATTAGAAAAACCAATATAATTAATTGTATAAATGAAATAGGTATAAGAATTAGACTAGTCAGTTATTACACTAGTCTGTGTTGAAAACACTATCGTAATTGTCATTTAGCGTATATGTTGTTTAGCGTGTAGTTTTTTCGTATTAATTACTTATAATTAATTTTTTTTTAAATAGTAAATATTTTATTTTATTTAATATTTAAATATGGATGAAAACATTATGAAGAAAAAATTTGATGATATTATATCTTCTATAATTACACAAAAACGTGATGACAACAAAGCATTTTTAAGTTCATCCGAATACGACTGTCGTTTGGAGCAATTAAAAACATCAAAGTTGGCTTTAAATACAATTGGTATGAAGAAGACAATAAAAGATTATAGAATGGTGCGTAAATTCGATATTTTAACTGTCAATGGAAAAGATAAACTCATCAAACCTGTAATTAATGATACCGTACTGTACTATGTGACAAACGATGAATTATTTGATATACTTCATTCGACTCATTCCGCAATTGGCCACGGTGGAAGAAATCGAATGAGCGCTGAGCTTAAAATGAAATATTGTAATATTACAAATGAAACGATAATGGTGTATTTAAGTCTTTGCGTACACTGCCAAAAAAAATCATCCAATCCGAAAAGAGGACTGGTTTCAAAACCAATTTTGCAGAATGCCTTTAACTCTCGAGCACAAATCGATTTGATTGATATGCAATCACAGTGTATTAATAATTTCCGTTTCATAATGAATTATCAAGATCATCTTACAAAATTTGTTGTGTTAAAACCTTTGACAAGCAAACGCGCTGAAGAAATTGCTCACAATCTACTCGACATTTACACAACATTTGGAGCTCCGGTTATATTACATTCGGATAATGGGCGTGAATTTGTGAACTCAATAATAACTGAATTACATTCAATGTGGAGTGACGTTAAAATCGTCCACGGAAAACCTCGGCATAGCCAAAGTCAAGGTTCCATAGAAAGGGCAAACAGAGATGTAGAAGATATGCTTGCCACTTGGATGGCACAAAATAATACAAAGGACTGGCCAAATGGTTTGAAATTTATTCAATTTCAGAAAAATCGCGCTTTCCATTCAGGTACTAATTTATATTATAATTAACTTAACCTATTTATACTATAATCAAGTTTTAATTTTGTTTTTCTATTTATGGTAGTTTGCATACCTATAATTTTTATTATATAGGTATTGGTAGATCACCGTATGAAGCGATGTTCGGATGTCCTGCAAGAGTAGGATTAGCTTCAATTGGCATTCCAACAAATGAAATTGAAAGTTTATGTACTGAGGAGGATATTGAATCAATTCTACCACAAACTCAAAATAGTGATGAAAACACTGAAAATATTTCAAGTCTAAGTGATGAATATTGTGAAAATTATACTAAAGATGAAGCAAAACTTGGTTTGTTTTTTATATAATTTTTCTCATTAAATAAAATTAAAAACATTTAAAATATTTTAGTTAACGAGCGTCAAAACAAAATAATGAATGAACGAAAAAAATCAATCTCATGTTTGCAAAAACAAGCAGAAAAGATATTAAAGTCATCATCATCTCGATTTGATCCACTCGAAATAGGTTCAACCGTTAAAGTATCTATACCAGACAGGGCCCCCACATACAATTTTGGGCCCCTGTAATAAATGTTTGACCGGGCCCTTTAATAAAACTTCCAAAAATACAATTTACCATCTACGAGATATAATATATAACAATTTTTGGAATAATATTAATTTTTTTATTATACCACTTCGAATTTAATATTCATTGTTAAGATAGGACAACATCAGTATAAATTATAAAACATCAATATTCATAAGCATTTCTACATTAACAGTGTCTTTTTTATTTCTTTTATTACAATGTTATCTAAATTTAAAAAAAAAAAAAAAAAAAACAAGTTTATTTTGATTTATATTTAATATATATTTTTTTAATTTATAATTTTATTCTGCGGGCTTTGAGCTCAGCGAACTCGGTAATTATATCGTCAAAGTTGATTGTCGAAGCCAATTCATTCTCCATAGATAAAATAGCAAGCGAGTTTAATCGTTCTTGACTCGTTGTGGATCTTTGCCACGTCTTCAGTGAATTTCCCAAGTTACTGAAAGACCTTTCTGCTTCTGCTACAGTCACCGGAATTGTACAAAATATTCGGAGACTAATACATACGTTTACAAAAATTGTTTGCACATTTTTTGCGTAAATGGAATTTAATAGTTCGAGTGGTGGCATTACATGGCTTTTTTGATATGTTGAAGAATATATAGTTTTCAGATGTAACATTTCTTGACACATATTTTCAGATAAATCATATTTGTATTTTTGTACAAGTGATTTTGTTTTCAATTCTAATTCTTCATTGGTCAGTGATAAAAAGTTTAATAATGGCTCAAATATATTACAAATATTTTTGACCGCTTGAAATCGATGTTCTAAGTCTGAAAGAATAAAGTCAATTGTGTAGTAAATCACATCATTTCTAAATACCATTTCAGGTTCAGTATTTTCAGAAGTTTCATCAATAATTTTTTTTTTTCTTTTTATTCGTCTAGTATTATTTCCAAAATGTTGAACTATTTGCATTTCTTTAGCTACTTGTTGCGTTTCTAATAAAATTTGGGGCCAGCTATCTCGTATATTTTGTAGGTCCTTTTTCAAATCTGAGAGGAGGTTAATTTCTACATCTAATGATATTCCTCTTTTTTGTATAATAACATTTCTTTGATCAATACACGATAATATTTTATACCAAAACGAAGACATAATCAGGCTTTTAAATGAAGTGAAATATTTTTTCATTGATTTAACTTCACTGTGATTTTTTTCTGGTAGTGTTTTACCAAGTTCATTTATTACGCGATCCAATGCATTTATGATACTAGGTAATTGTTTTGAAATGGGACGAATTGCATGAATACGCGAACTCCATCGAGTGTTTGACTGTGAATGTAATGAATTCCCTATTTCATCTTTTAAAATACTCCACCTAGCTGGACTTGAACTAAAAAATACATATAATTGTTGTACGTAACCAAAATAAGTTACAACTTTAGGACACATTTTAGCAGCATTAACACCAATAAGATTGAGTGAGTGAGCGGCGCACGGTGAGTATAAAGCCGAGTCATTTTTTTCGAGTAAAAGCGATTGCACTCCTTTTATTTTCCCGGACATATTGGCGCCATTATCGTAGCCTTGCCCCCTACAATCCAAAAGTGGAATTTTATAATTTTCAAGTCTAGAAATTAATTGATTAGCAATGCCTTTTCCAGTTTTTTCATTGAAATTTATGAATTCAATAAATCGTTCATAAATGTTGAATACTTCAGTTTTTTCATTTTGTGAAACATATCTTAATATTAAAACATTTTGCTCTTGGTGAGAAACATCTGGGGTAGCGTCTGCAATAATTGAATAATAAATTGCATTCTCACGTTGTTTTAAAATTATTTTCATAACTTTATCCCCACACAAAGAAATAAACTCATTTTGACTTTTCCATGATAAATAATGAGCACTACCTTTCATTGATTCACCTTTTATTTGTGATTGTTTTACCATAGTTAAATGTTCACGAGTTATTTCATCATATTTGCCTAGAAGTTCTAAAACACCCAAGAAATTACCATTATGTATATCACCAATTGTAGAATTATCTCCTTGAAATGACAAACCTCTTGATCCCAAAAATAAAGTAACATCGAGTAACCTACGTAAAATACCTTTCCATTTGTCAGCCTCGCACTTGATTTGTTTTTGAAGAATATAATCAACGCCGTGACCTATCAGTGACTGTTGTAAAGTTTTCCATTCTAAAAATAAATCTCTATGAACTTTACTATTTTCGTGAGTAGGAAGTTTTGAGTACAGTTTTTTCCATGATGTTTTATGAGGACAAAAACCTTCTCTTTTAGCTAATATACTAATAGTATTTGAAGTTTCTGTTAAATTTGGGTGAAATAAAATACAAGGTAAACAGTGTAAAGATTGTTTAGTCTCACTCCAAATTAACCAATCTCGAGAAAACGATTCACGATTATTTGATGATTTTGAATAAAGCATAAATTTACTAAAAGACTTACCATTAATATCTTTTGGCATATATTTTACAAAATTAACTAGTTCTGGAAATTTTGGTGCACAACAAACAATCATATCTCGAACTGACCTCGAAATTGTAGTTGGCCACATTCCAGGGTCCTTCAAATCCGGAGATGCCACTAATGTCGGTGAAATTAATTTTTTTGGTTCACTTTCACATGAATTAGAATCAGTGGTACTTGTAGAGTCAATATTAGTTTCGTCCGTTTCGAAAATTGCCACATGGTCTGGATGTGGCATATACGAATCGTTATTAACAAGCACGCCAGTCTTCGAAGTTGATTTGAAAAAATTTGTAATAGAAATACGACCCTTTACTTCTTTGGCATCTTTTTCTAATTTTTCTTTGCGTTTCAGAGCACCTGATTTATGCTTATACATTATATAAATTATTAAATGTACAAAGAATTATATAAAAAGAGACAAATTCACGGATTCGGATTTCGATAAACACGACGCGGTGTATTGCGCAATACTGATTAAATCTTGTCAACGAGCTGGAATACTAGGTATTAAAATCTAATAAAAGATAATAATAATCTAATATGGTTTGCAATCGATAAAGAAGGCTTAAACTGCAATCACGATAATTTCTAGGTAATCAATGATTAACTATCAAATTAACTATCATTAATCAGTGTCTAAATATATATATTTATATTTCATAAATTAATTATTTCTACAAAAATTACAAAAAATACAAATAAAATTTCAACGGATCCACGGGCCCTTAAAATATCCGGGCCCCTGTACTCAAGGTCCATCAGCCCCCCCCCCCCATGTGGGGGCCCTGATACCAGATGTAGATCGTGCTCGCGGAGCTCCGCGTAATTTATTAGCAGTCGTTATACATGTCGAAAATGATCTTTACAAATTATGTAAGTACCCACATATAAATTATTCAAATATTTACTAAAAATTAATGTTATACACTTATACAGGATAATTCTTTTATCATAAAACACTCGTTATTTCAAAAAGTATTCATGTTTTAAAAAAAAAAAACTGTTACATATAGTTTCAAGTTGTTAAAAAACAAAATTTTTATTAAAAAATTATATTTTTAAATATTTTTTATCCTTGTATTTTTTTTTACTTTTTTGAATGACAAAATAATTTGTACGTAATAAGTTGTATGTATTTAAAGTTTTAGTCAAGTGGAGTATTGGACAAACATTTTGCGGGGTAACCTCGTATAACTCCACTCCACGTATCTATAAACTTAAAATACTTATAACCCATAAACTAGTAAACTACTCGCCCTAAATTCGATTTTTTATATTATATTTTAATATAGGTACTGAACATGGATACTTAAAACATAAATACACAAGATCTGAGCTAGTACCTTGTAAAGAAAAACTACTTGATCTACCTAAATCTATCGAAGAAAAAGAGCTAACTCTTCGAGAGGCAGCTGGTTTGAGCAGTATTTCGGGCACTCAAGGGTACCAACGATGTCACTGCAAAACTAAATGTAAAAATAATAAATGTGCTTGTCGTTCTTCAGGTAAACTTTGTAATTCAAAGTGTCATGGATCATTAATATGTGAAAATAAATAGTTAATAATGTAATATGATATAAATACAACAATAACCATTTGTATAATTTTTTATCGTTAATTCCCGGTAATTGACATAAAAATCTACTCCTATAAATTAAAAATGGATATTAACGATATTTACCGGTAAATTACGTAAATTATTATTTTTCGTCATTTACCGTAACATATACAAATATATCGCAAAATCGTTGCTCTTCAGTCGTTGTAATGCCTTTAATCGCATACCTTTGGGGGGGATATCGTGATATGTTATGTGATAATAAACTCGGTACGTCGTTAATACGTATACGATTAAAAAATGTAAACGAATACGTCGGAAACATTATAAACGACAATAAATATACGATTTACGGTTTCGTGACACGCGAATCGTAAAAATTGTACGGGTTAAACGACGTATAATGTAGTATTCGTCGCATCTCTAAAACGGTTTAAGTGCTCGAGATTCGATTCCAGTTTTCAACTCAAACGGTAGTCGATAGGAGTTAGGATAGGCTACAACTAGTTTGCGCACATTTTAAAATTTCCCTGCTAAAACCTGTAACTCGTTTGCGCACAACATATTATATACAATAATATGGTATAGCTATGATTATATTTTGTACATAATATTATTATATACCTACAACACAGCTACACACAACACACGTGCCAACAGTGATATTAAGTGTAATTGGTTTTTAGACGCAGATAATGGTCTGTAATCGGCAATATTACTTCGATAAACTTTATCAGTATTTATGACCCATCAATAAACTGGTACTATCGTTTTGAAATCGCAAACACAAATTTTTAGTTTTAGTTTCGACAATTCTCTCGTATAGCGCTTACAGAAATATGGATTATGAAATAACAAATATATACTATACGCGTCGCGGTAAAATGTGTGTTTCTATTAACAAATTTAAGTTTTCGAAGTACAGAAAATTAAAATGTGGGAATTTTTCATTTCGATGTACCAATAAAAAATGTAAGGCAATTGCTACATTAAATCCTCAGTGTACAAGTATTATTAATCATAAAAACGAACATAATCACAGTGAATATTCCGAGAATGCAGTACATAAAGATATTATCCGTAGTTTTGTTAAAAGAAAAGCCGTTGAAGAAATGCATACACAACCAAGTAAAATTATTAGACAGTAGAATAAAAAAGACAGTTCTGACGGCTGATCCCTATGCTGGGTTGCTGATCCCTGACAATATTTTTCGACCCTCCGATCCCTGCTGATCCTACCGTCGGTTGCGCATGTACACGACCGGTTTTACTCCCACCTCTTCATCATCCGGTCGCGCACGTACGTGACGTATATTTACCCCCACTATTGCTGGCGCGGCGGTCGCCGGAAAAATATATCACCGTTATCATGTTATTATGTTATCACGTTATCAAAGCAACAACTCCAACTCGGGAAAATATATCACCGTTATCACTTATCA